AAATGGAAAACATTTGGCGATGATGCTCTTTTTAAAAACCTCAACACGCTAGCACGAAAGTATAATTCCAAACGATTAGATTGTTGCAGACAGGTCTCCTTCGTTGAGCATAAAGAATGCAGAGAGACAACGAAGAGCTGAAAAGTGAAAAAATAGTCCAGAAAGTTCACATCTTCGGAAAAGATCAGAGTGTTCCAAAACAGTGAAAAAAGTGTTTAAGATGCGGTGAAAAAGGAATATATATATAGTGAACACTAGAGGTGATGTAACTTCTCTTGGTGGTGTTCCATTTCAACTATGTACGTAACTGCTAAAGAAAGATGCTATGTTTTATATCCCGGTGATTCCCCGAACGATAGTGTTACAAGTAATGAGGTGTCTTCGCTTCATAGCAACCACGAAAAAGCAGACACTCGTTTAATTCTACATGCTAACCACGCAGAGGCAATGTACGATAAAGTTGTTATCAAAATCCCTGATACAGATGTTCTTATACCTGCGATTACCATGCAACAAGAGATTCAAAAAGAGATTTTCTTTTGACTGGCACGGAAGATGGACGTCGTTGCGTATTTGTAGTCAATCTCGAAATTCTTGGACGTAGTTGTTGCTCCTTGTTTACCAGGCTTACATGCATTTACCGGTAATGGCATTAGCAATCAAGCAGCATCATAGTATCAGTGTTTTAGTGCAGAAATTGATCTTCTATCACCGGTTGGCAATGGCTGGACGTTTGACGATAAAGAGCTAGAGATAACTTGGATGACACGCCCACCCGCTCCGCGATCTTAAATTGAGTGTGCTGAGTGAAAGTGCAAGACTGGATGCTCGACCATGCGTTAATCCTGCAAAAAGCTGACTTAAAGTGCACCGACCTATGTTTGTGTGGTGATTGCCAGAATGCAGTAGTTGAAGATGGTAATTATGGGGCGCCGTTTGTAAAAAAAATATTTAGCACTCATTGTGTATGTTTTTGCGTTATTTAGTTTCGCATAGTGAATGTTTCCAACAAAATATCGTTATTTATTAGTTAATATTTTCGATGTATTATGAAACAGATGCTGAATCATAAATCGCAAGTGCGATATAATAAATCGCAAGTGCCATATGGTAAATCGCAAGTGCGATATAATAAATCGCAAGTGCGATATAATAAATCGCAAGTGCGATATAGTAAATCGCAAGTGCGATATAATAAATCGCAAGTGCAATATAATAAATCGCAAGTGCGATATAATAAATCGCAAGTGTGATATAATAAATCGCGAGTGCGATATAATAAATCGCAGGTGCGAAATAATAAATCGCAAGTGCGATATAATAAATTGCAAGTGCGATTTAAGCGGCTCATTGAATGACCAGCGGCTGTAAGATATTATAATTTTTGGCGGGAAAACTGGCGAGAATTATTATTAACGAGTCACGGGCGGAGTATATGTATATTGCAAATCAAAATTGCAAATGGCAGACGCAGCCAACTTAGCTAAACTTATCTCGGAAGCTGTAACCAAAGCTTTAAATGAAAGTGGACAGCTGAATCAATTTTGTGTAAATAGATCTACTCAACCACTGCCTGGACGTTCTGAGCAATCGAATACAACAAACATTGTCCCAACACAGGTAGATCTATTAATTTAATAGTATATAATTTAGTAAATTTACTAATTTTATCTGTCAGTGCGATTGTTTTATTACACGCATCACATTTTAGTAATATATTACGTTGCGTTATTGTCAAATTGTTAATATAATTGGAAGAGGCAGTTTTTAAACCAAAATATGTAAATGATACATCATTGTTACCAAAATATGACTTAAGTGTCCATGTCCCAATTACCAGTAAGATGGTCACAGTGTATGTAAGTGTCAGCAAGGCACTCACAGAGTGAAATTGATTAAAACTGTCATAATCTATGCTCTCTATCATTTTAAAATATTTTAACCATAATTTTCAATATTATATGCAGTGTAGTAACTTTTATTTCAATACAGCTGCCTTCTGGATCCAATGCCAGTACATCAACAGTGCTGCCAAGTGGTTACAGAAGAACTATACCAATCAGTAGAAATGCTGTGCCACCAAAGAAAAGGAGAGCAACTGCAACAACATCACGTGTTAAGACATACACAAAAAATGTTGTTTGCATACCTCCAAGCAATTTTCAGGAGTCCACCTCGATTCCAATTCCTCGTGGAGAAAATCGTGCAAGCCTGATGGAAGCGGGACTAGTGGCAAAATTATCATTTGATAGTACATGGAATGAGACTCAAATTCGTGCTGAGATATATGGATTATTCAAACAATGTTTTGAAAGTGAAAATGAGCCAGATAGACTGTTTTCGTTTGAATATCTGAGGTATGTAGATTCATATATACTGTACATTATAATAGTAAACATTTGATTTTATCAACATTTGAGAGATCTCTTTTCTGCAGTACATTGGCTGGAACCAAAAAATTGTGTCGCCCAAGAACATCAACTTTGTTTCAATGGGATGCACAGCAAGTTTTGTCAATTTGTTCCAGAGACACATTATATGTTATTGCTGACATAGAACCATTACCACACAAAACACAACCTGATATCACAGTAGAGGTAAGCTTTATTGAAAGTAATGACATTGACAAAAAAACTTTATTATCTTATTACTGTTTATTACAATATTGTTCTAAAGGCAGTGGGACAGCCAACACTATTTAATGTTGAAGATCCTTCATCCAGCCAACACTATTTAATGTTGAAGATCCTTCATCCAATATTTCAAACATACAAAGTAGAGAACCATCTCCCAATACAATCCAAACAAGGTACAGTATTATTGTTTGCACAAAATTATTTGATTCCATAAAATGATTTTCAGTGTTCTGCTATTTAATAGCAAAAAGCTTTTGCCCTCAAATTTTTACTGGTTCTTCTAGTTAATGAGAACATTTTTATAATTCCATCATTACAGTTCGTATGAAACATTAGTGATTGAAGACGAAATGGCATTATCAGATGATGAGCTTGAAGATGAAGATTCAAATGATTCAGATATTTTTGAATCCAAACAAACATGGTAAACTTAAGTAATATTAACTACCTGCAGTCAGTTGTATGAAACTGTTCCCCTAAATTCGTATTGGGATGTTGAATCATAGTTACATCAAAATACACAGTTCTTAGCAGATATTTTGGTGAGGTAGTTGGATAAATCCCCCCCCCCTCAGAAATCAGTTGAAAAATTTTTTGACTTAAATCCTTTTTGCTTAAAAAAATTGAGGGCGTGTATCCTCAATACTTTGCTACGCTCTTTTTAAAACCAAGACTCAAGATAAGAGTTTTTCATTAGGACAAAGATCTGCGCAGGAAATCAGGTGGCAAACTGAAATTCTTAGAATATCAAAACAACCAAAAGAGATTGATGATCACTCCCTATCGTTTTTCTTATGCCCCCCGCCCCCTCTTAAAAAAAAGCTGAATAAAATTTGGTAAGGTTCGCCCTCTCACCTGGACTGAATTTCCACCACTCATTCTGAATTGTCAATCCTGGCAGGCGGTACCTGTCTATAGCCAAAAGTTAACTAGAGTTTTATGACTATGACTATTGTGCATACATAAGCTGCATTTACACTACAAGCTTTGACCTAGATCTGGTCCAGGCCTTGGTAAGAATGGTATGAGCACAACTTTAATAAGTAATATGAAAAGTGGAAAAAGTACAGTGTGCGTGCATACATTTACTTCTTTATCTTATGTTTAGCTTGGAAAAGCGCCAGTTAAAGGACATTTTGTGGGAGATAAAAGGCAAACTAGAAACAGATGATGAACGCCGGTCGTATGTAAATGTCCGTCGCAGTCAGTTGTGGGTTGACTCCTGCAGGTTTCTTCAGCGAAAAAAATTTAACCCACTATTGCCAATATCTGTCCGATTTGCTGATGACCAAGGAACAAGCGAGGGCGCCGTTGATGCAGGAGGACCACGAAGAGAATATCTGAGGCTGTTAGTGAGGGCATGTCATATGCATTCGGGAATTTTTTGTGGATCGGAGCACCACAGAGTTTTATTTGTCAATTTTGATGGTAGGTCAAAGCATCAGTGTAATTAAGTAAAATTGGATACATTGTTTTATTCTGGCAAACTATGTGCAAAATGCTTCTTCATCACATGCATGGAAACATTTTTTGTTTTGGTCGATAAATGTAGAAACAAGCTTTTATACTCTAGATCTCTGTCCCTTCTGACTCTAGGTTTCTGTCTCTGACCTTTGTTTTCGTGTTTTGGCTTATTTCCACATTGAGGGGGAAGCAACACTCGTACACGTTTTATGAACTGGAAAATGCGCAATATTCCTGTTGTCCATTCCGGTTTGCACCCATCCATTAGGAAAACGTAGATTTTGTATTTCTCGAGATCATAAAAATTTTTTAGCCAGAGAGAAAGGATTGTATCGGTTGGTGGGGATGATCATTGCTTGGTCAATATTCCATGGGGGTCCGGCTGGTAATTTCTTCAGCAAATCATTGTTTAATGGACTTGTTCATGTAAACAGTAATGGTGTTTGTGAAACATTTCTCGAAGACGTGCCAAATCCTGATATGCGAGATCAAATTAAAAAGGTAAGTGGCAGTGTTTGCAAATGGTAGTATTGAATTTTAACATTAATGTTAAATTTAGGAACCAATACACATTAATGTACGCTGCGATTCTTTAACATGTCCTCCCTCTGCCTTTTAGGTGAGAGAATCACAATCTTTGGAAGAATTACATGCAAATTTGAAACATCCGCTTCTTGAAGAAATTCTTGATAACATTGGCATGATTCCCCAAATACATGTGCCAATGCTTTCCGACAAGGAAAAGGTTTCAAAAATTATTACCAGATACATCGTTTACGATTCTTCATAGAGGAATTGAAGCAGGGATTAAAAACCTTTGGCATGCTTGAGTGCATGCAAAAATACCAAACCCAGTTCTTCGAAATTTTTTGCAAGCATATGAACCCTTTGGATGCCCACATGGTCGATTTACTGTTTACACCGTCCTTTTCTGAGGAAGGAAGTAATGCTAGGCAACGAGAGGAACAGGCAATTGTTTTCTGGAGGGATTATCTACAAGATTGTGGTGGTATGTAAACCTCTGAATTAATTAAACCCAGAATTGTAACGATTAGCTAGCTATCTGTATTTAATAAAAACAAACATGTACTATACATAATCGACAAATCGTGTGTAATTATACGTACCTAACATAGATATTAAATAATACCTATATTCTAGTGGTCATTGCTAAAAATGAACAATCGTATTTTCTTAGATGGGGAGGCGCAAGCAACTTTGGAGGATGTTCTCATTTTTAGCACTGGTGCAAATTCACCTCCTCCAATTGGCTTTGATGAAGAACCAAAAATCGCGTTCACCGAAGAGAAATACCCCAAGGCAAATACCTGCGTGCATTTGCTATATTTGCCAACAATACACAACTCCTTTGAAGATTTCAAAGAAACCATAGATTTTGCTATTTTAAATTCACCTACTTTTGAACATGCATAATTATAACAACTTAGACAATTTTAAACTTTAAAAAAACTAATGTATATGGATTTACATATCAGTAGCGTAGCCAGCTCGATAATTGGGGGGGGGGGGCAATATTCATATATTCGTGTTCACAGACCATACATAAAAACAATAAATTTCAAAAGAACTTAATAACGTAGAACCTGAATATATGCCCCTCCCCAATTATCCAAGCTGGCAATGCCATGGTTACATGTTAAATATCACTTAGATAACTACGTTTATAGGTTGAAATGTATCAAGGTTACTCAATATAAATTGTCACCAACAAACTGAACAGTCTGTTTGAACAATTCATCACTATCTAAATCTGAAAGTGGATCAACTGTAGATTTAAGTTGTTCATAGGTGTCTTCATCCAATGGGTTTCGAACATCTGAAACGTCAACGTGGGGTAGTTCATTGTCAACCAAAAAGTCAGAAACATTTATTCCTTGTCTGATCTCTTCAGGTGAAATGCCAGAGTGAAGTGCAGTCAAGTTCAAATTTAGGTAAAATAACTGTGAAGGTGTTCTGTTACCCTCAGTTGAAACAGGGTGGTTGTTATGTGCTGCAATGAATTCTGCCAATGAACGATTTATTCTTGGTAAAAACACATAGTGGAGGCAGAAGATATCAGTTGAATTATCAGGATCCAAAATTCCTTCATGCTCCATTTGATAGAAGATTTGCTTGTACCTTTCAATGACATTTTCATTGACAGATCGATTGTGGCGTTCAATTCTCTGATTGTGAACTGAACTGCCAACTACAACAGCTCCCGAATCCTCTCCCCATTTTGCAACCATACTCTGCCATACCTCGACGTTTTCACCACCATAATCTGTACGCACTCTGAACGGATATTGGTATTTGTCAACTGCTTCCACAAACAACTGATGAACAGTTGAAGCCTTGTTGTTGTCAGAAAAGCGACCAAATACAACAAGGCGGCTAAAACCATCAATGCCATGGTGCAATACCAAGCCCCATCGGATCAATTTGTGGTTGCCATCGATGTGCCAAATGTAATTCGGACAGGGTACACTATAAACCCGACGCTTGATTCTAAGGCGTTGACGAGCTAATGTTCCAAGGGGGTCAACCTCTTTTAGGGTCTTCCTCAATCGCTTCCTTTGCACAGTGATGCCCTGAGACTGCAGATGTCCTTGAACCATGACTTCCCCTGCATTGGGATGGTTTGATTTGATGTTAACCATTGCAGTTCTTAGCTCCTGATCACTATGGTTGCTAAATCGTCCTTGATATTCAAGATTATGCCTTTTCATTTCATTGTAAATAGTTGGTCGAGACACGCCTAATGAAGATGCCATTTTACTGACTGGGATCTTTAAGGCAATAAAATTCTGTAAAACATCTAGTGGAATTTCCTTGCTTGGTCTTCCAACTGGTCGTATACTGCAAGTGTGAAAAGTATAAAATCTCTAGTTTTGAAAAAAGTTTTGAGTTCATTCAAATCTTAAAACATGCTAGAAAATGCACTTTTACACATGTCTCAAGGGCTGAAGGTAGAACCCCTCCCCCCCCACTTGGCAGAATTAATTAAATTTGTACTTGAATTCATGCAATTTTTGCTGAAATCATTTGTCGCCTCCAAAATGTTCAGGCTGGTATGCCGATTACACATGTACAGCAGTTTTAATATTATAGTTATAATATTGTAAACTTAAAATATCAGAAGCCAAAAATATAATCATGTGTATTATTTTCTGCCCAAAATTTAGATGCAAAATAGTATGCATTAGCTTGCAAGAAGGTTCTGATCATATTTAGAGTCTGTTCCCAGGCTAAGAATGCATATGAAAAAAGTATTGAAGCATGTACTTCATTAAGATGAACCACCTCTCATACCATAATATCAACTCTCATAATTATTTTGGACTTCTTGCATACAAAGGTGTCATGTCATGAGTTACCACATCCCAAATTTTATTCAGCAAATGTGAGGGGTCTGCTTCCAGATAATTTTCAATTGCTTTACAAAACTGTTTGCAGGGCTATCTGAACCTGACGTTATTAGGGAAGGGACTAAATCATATAACCCCTGGTTGTTCAGCATTGTTCAAATACACCATTAAAGTAGCTACCTAGATACGCCAGTTTCTTGTTCTTCCAATACTCCTTGCTGGACTATGTTTCTATCAAACTAGAAAAGGTTATGAATCATCAAATATAGTAAATAGCATCGACAGTATCAGGAGATAATTCAGGTATAACGGGTAAAGAAGATTTATTTATGGAGTGAAACTTGGCTATTAAATTTTAATTGATACTGTGCGTATATTGGTGTTTAATATATACTGTACTTTATTTTGATTATAGTTAGATGTGTTGGTTAATTAACATACTTTTAACGTACCTCTTCATTTCCATTATTCCCTGTTTCTCCAATTCCCACTGCCATTTTACACCCAATGTTAATTACAATAATTCCCGCCAGTTTTCCCGCCAAAAATTATACTATCTTACACGCACTGGTCATTCAATGAGCCGCTTAAATCGCACTTGCGATTTATTATATCGCACTTGCGATTTATTATATCGCACTTGCGATTTATTATATCGCACTTGCGATTTATTATATCGCACTTGCGATTTATTATATTGCACTTGCGATTTATTATATCGCACTTGCGATTTATTATAACGCACTTGCGATTTATTATAACGCACTTGCGATTTATTATATCGCACTTGCGATTTATTATATCGCACTCGCGATTTATTATATCGCACTCGCGATTTATTATATGGCACTTGCGATTTATTATATCGCACTTGCGATTTATTATATCGCACTTGCGATTTATGATTCAGCATCTGTTTCATAATACATCGAAAATATTAACTAATAAATAACGATATTTTGTTGGAAACATTCACTATGCGAAACTAAATAACGCAAAAACATACACAATCAGTGCTAAATATTTTTTTTATAAACGGCGCCCCATAGGTAATGAGGATAATAGCAGTTATGGCCTGGCTCAATCTGATGACGATGATGAACTTGAAGGATGAGGATCTAATTTGGATTTCGGAGATGACGTCGATGATGAGTTGTGGTATTAGCTGTCCGATTAAAAGGGTTGAGTTCAACATTTCATTTGTGTTTTAAAATTATAAGGCGCTCGTAATTCTCCCACAATTTTATTTGGTTGAAATTGATTTAAGATACGCAGTATGTTGTTTCTGTATTATATAGTTTTAACTATAGCAAGTTAGTTTATTCTAAAGGAGAGAAGCATCAGTGTATGGGGTAGTAAGGCTGTAGGATAATGCGTTCTTTTCTTATTTGCAAAATTCCAGACTTTGTTGTCCGCCAATTTGTTATGTGTTTTCTTTTCGGGTCAAAGAAACAGAGATCAACAATGGAAGAATTACCATAATTCAATTCTAAGAAGAAAGAGAAGCGTTGGCTTTTAACCAGTAAAAGCGTTGCTGCAGCATGGGAGGGGGAACACATTCCAGATTTTCCCAGATTAAAAGAATTGTGTAGTAATTATTTTATATAAATTGACTAGAAAGAAAACGCTCGTGGATGATTTTGATGCGTGTAAATAAAGTTGTTCTTATTTATTTGTTAATTCCAAGAGCAGAATGCTATAAAAAAATCACAAAATGTCGCATGTTTTTCCGATTAATTGTTGTCTGTTCTCTGACTAATTTAGTTTTGAAAAACTATGGAAATTTGTGAAAAACCTCGTAAAACGTGACTCAAAGCTTCCTTGTTGAAACCTGCTTGCCCAGCAAAAATGCGAGAAACTTCATTTAAATCCCGGTATAAAACTGCTGAATCTGCAATATATGTCGTATATTACACCAAGTATCCAACACATTTCCTGAATCAAAATGGGGTCGGTGTATTGCAAAACATGCAAATTTACTGATTTTTGTATCTGCTAACGCATATATATTGCTATCGTGCGCGTACCGTATGTTAACACATAGCCATTCAGCGATGCGCTTATATAATTGACAATAGCTAGCCAATCAGCGATTAGTTTATTACGTGCACACACCATAACCTAAAGCATGCAGAAAATATAAACATATACCAGTGACTCATTGCAATTTTGGCTTCAAGAAAACTTGTTCTGTGTTTTTTTATCCAAGTTTTTCTGAACATGGAAACCTATCCGCATGAGGTAAATAGTCAATCTCTTCGGAGATCAAAACAATCTCTTCGGAGATCGAAACAATCTGTTTGGAGATCGAAACAATCTCTTCTGAGACGATTAACAAAACCCAAAGAAATTCAACAGCAAACCATTGTACAAAAATTATATACATTTGTATTGTATAGATAGCAGCTGTGTTAGGTGTATAAATTCAGATCACTATACGCGTAGCTGCTGTTGTCGCCACCGACTGACTGTACGGAAATTGACAAAGCAGACAAATACCAAGTGATCTAGAGACCTTGCACCTTCCAGGTTGCCTTTAAAGAGAATTATATTGGCTATAAGAAAGAGAAAAAGTAGATCCACTTTAAAGCATTATTTTGTAAGAAATGCCCCTAGGTCATCCATTTTAAATAAAATAGCTAGTAATTTCAAGCAATGTTGTCTTCAATTTGTGCCAATGCAACATATTTTTATCAATTCATTTGGATATTTAAAGTGCCTATATCACTTGTGGGACCTTTGCAGATTTGAAAAGAGCACACAAAGTTAGTTAATAAGTTCTTCAACCTTTTTTGATTTAGTTCAGTACTTTTGGAGATTTTTAAGCCTAAACATGACAATTTTCAAAAATTTCTGTGGTGCTTTGTTGCACTTGGGGGCCTGGGACTCAGGAACCAATCTGTCGTCAAGGTATCTAAGATCAATTGCATCTTAGCATCGCGAGAGACGAAAACAAATTATTTGGGAAATAAATTGCTATGTCTAGCTCAGAGTCATCCGATAATGTTAGCGAAGACTCTAATGCTTCTCTTGCATATGAAATCGAGGACGAAAATTTCAAAACGA